ATTTCACTTACACAGAATATTCTTCCATATATTGTTATGGCCAATTCTTTCATCAGCAGCTGCTCAATTTGCTCTGCAGAGAAATTTTTTTCAAGAATTGCATTAGTAGGAGCAACTACTGGCAGGGGTAATCCCAGAGACAAACTCATGATGCTACTGTACTGTAGAACTTCACTTTTCCCCAGTTGACATCCATGAGAGAAACCCTAGTTCACACTTTTCTTAGTGTAACAGAGGAAGCAATGTCAAAGATGCAAGTAGGGTTTGAAAAGCACAGCATACATGCTATTATCAGTTAATTCCAGGTGTTGCATTCAGGTTTTCTTTAAATTTATTTTGAAGAGGTTTTTAGCTTTTCTTATCTCTTCCTGAAAAGTTTTCACTGACATTTTGTCTGAGAAAAATATTTTAGTTCATGCTATACATATAAAGGTAAGATGTGTAAACAAAATATATCTCAGTTCTTTTTGCATGCAATTCTTCAGAAAGATTTAACAATGTCAGATAGGTAGATATCGCATTTAACCAATAAGGTAATCTGACATACTGGATTCAGATTCATTCAAACTTCAATTCTGTTTTTATCCCAATAATCAACAATTTAAAGAAAATACCTGACATAAAGCATATTCTTTAAGCTCTTTTTTTATACAAAAATACTGTAATCCAGCACTTTCCCTTTTCTCCTCTCCTCTTAAAAGTAGTAATAGTCTATCACTCCACCTTTGGGCATAAAAAAGCCAGATTTCCCATGCCATTAGAACCATCTGTGCAAGCCTTTAACTCAAAAAACCTCCAGAGTCCTAACATTTAAAATGTCGACTGTGTTTTTCACTGAGTTTCAAGGTCCTTTACAAAGTTCTGGTTGTTTTTTTTTTTTTCTCTCTCTTGTTATAAATGTGTTATAAATGTGGATAAATAAATAAATACATAAGTAGATGATTTTCCAAAGGTTAGGCAGAAAAAACAAACAAACAAACAACTTAGCCCACTGTTTAAGGAACAGATTAGACTTTAAAACAGGGTGGTTCTGCCTCTTATGTAACCTTGTATCAGTGACTTAATATCTTTCATTCTCTACAGACAGGATGAGGGGAAAAAAAAAAAAAAAAGCAAAGCACACCAATACCAGCATGTTAGATATGTGAGGACCTGCAAACATCTGAGAGAGAAGCAGAAGTAGCAGAAGTACAGACTAAAAATTCATGCTTTTAGCTCACTCCTAGTTACCTTACAAAGACGACTTCCTCTCTGGATAAGCATGAGCATCATCAAAATACAGGATGCCTCCAGAAACACAAACGCATTGGGAATGCACATTAAGAGGAAAGTCTACTAGGTAAAACAAGCAACAATTTCTGAAAAAGGAATTCATACAGCTTTGCAGTTTTCTAAACAGTTTTGTTTCATTCTCATAGCCATTAAAATGTATAAAAATGATTATTTCCAAAACAGCATTGCCATGAATTATCACCACTCCTGTTGCCTAGCAACTGGAGTAATTTTTGAATAGTGAGCTATATAAACCAGTAGTTGGAGTTTGTGCAAATGTGTATCCATTTGAGGGTTTAAAACACATTCTTCTTAGAAATCAGAGGCTGAAAATTCAGCACTAACGTAAAGCAGAAACATTAAAAAAAATACAAAATGGCATCAGTAATTACTACAGCTTAGGAAAATCTCCTTTAGCAGACTTGTGCTCAGGGACAAGCTCCTTGCTGCTCCTTGGGGTTGCAAGTATTTTCATAAAAATTGGGAAGTTATTTTAAATTCCTGTGGAGGAAATAATTTTTGCCCAGTCTACTGACAATGGAAACTGGTGACATGAAATGGTGATGTATTAGGTCAAATAAATAATTCTATTTTTATAAGACATATCTTGCGCTAGTAGAACTCACTAGTTCATACTATGACAGAATGATGTGCTTTGGAAGGTTCAAAATTGGTCTTGACATTATTAGCAACAAATAGGTAGCCCACTGATATATTAGAGAAGGCTTATAAGTACACAAATGAAAGATACAATCTTCCACAAACTACAGCATAGTCACTTATTAGTTACAAGTGTTGCCTGTTACAGGGATTCTTGCCCATTCCTTGGACCTAAGTGGAATTTAACTTGATTGCAGGACAAGATCTCATTTGTATTATTATCTGTATTATTATTATTATCTGTATTATTTGATGTTTGAGAATTTCTATGTTACTTTCTTGCAGCTTTAATGACAAGTTAGAGTCAATCTGTATCACTATTCCCAAATGTTTTCCCAAGGGAGAAAAAGAGAAAGGAGAAAGATTCCAACTTTGTGGCTTTCCAGGCTCCCTAGCCTTGAAACAAATAGAAAAAAGAGAAGAAAAAAAAAAAAACCATACAGTAGATCAGCATATGTTTTCCAGAGAGACTACAGACAAAGAGACAAATTAATCCCTGGTATGAACACACTGCCCACTGAAGGCAATGTAGCAGCATCTGCTTATACCAACAATAAATCTGAACAAGCTTTTCCCTACAACTGCTACCTGTGGAGAAAGGCCAGATACAGCAAAGAATACAGTTTAAGAGAACGCAGCTTGGGAAACTGTATTTCTCCAGAAAACAAAACAAAACAACAACAACAAAAAACACCTATCTACATTTTCAGATGTTGTTTCAGGGCTCCCAGGAAGCCATACACTGCCTACTGACAGACTGCCACAAAATTCTTAATGGCTGTTTAATAGCTCTGATAGAGAAAAGATGCTTCATTTTCTCTGCTGCTCTGTGGAAATTAGCTGAGACCACACACACAGTGCACAGTGCATTCACATAAGGAAAAGCTTCCCTTGTTTTCCTTCAGTATCATTCAAAATGTTCATTGACAACATTATAATTTTATCCTCAGTGATGAAAGAGAACACTCCTGCAGGAAGGGAAGTTATCTCAACTAGATAGGCGAGCTGTTGCTGTAAACAAGAGGTGCTACTGCAAATTGATTGCACCAGCCTATGGGATTCAGTTTCTACAATGCAGCACACACACCCCTCCTTCCTCACTTCTCCACCTGCACTGACAGATCATTAAGCAATAGTGCTTGCTCTCACAGAACCCATGCTCTTCTTGTAGGAGCAGAGAGAAGAGAAGATTCTGGCCTGAAGAGAGCTTTTGCCTTTTTTCAGCACTACGAAGAAGCTTATGAGCAGGTCTGCTGGCACTCCCGCCTGTGGAAGCTCCGAAGTGCAACTGCTGGGAATTGCTGCAGAAAGAGATGGCTAGAGCAGCAAGATGTTTGGTAATGCTTTTCTCACAGCTGGGCATGCAAGGAAAGACAGCTGTTGTGCTTGGTAGAGACTCCTTGTATGTTTAGTTCTAGCACAGGAAGCATTGTTAACATCATCTTTCTATATCTACAGTTTGTCTTCCCTTCCATCCATAGAAGCTACCAAGAAGGACAGACTTTTGATAAGCACAGACCAAACTGCATTTTGTGAATTGTAGAGTTCAAGCTATTTTCACACTACAACCAGGTGGATGAACCACAACACATGTTATGAATGTTAATATGTACAAATTTGGTTGACCCTTGACTAAATTTCAGTCTGACTAAATTCCAGAAAAAGGAATATTTCAGAACAGAATGTTTTAAGACCAAACTGCCAAATAATTTTGGAAAATAAACGTTAAAATTAAAATTACAAACACACTCATTTCTTCTTTATTTTCCAAAATGAAAACAAAGCCAAAGAAGTAAAACTAGTCAATATCTTACAGTTTTGAATGAATTTGAGAAATAACCATATTTACAGCCTTCAAAATGGTTAAAAGGGTAACTTCAAGGACAAAATATACTCTGTGAATGACTTTCTTGGTTCACTCTCCATGTCATCCTACTGTTGCCAATTCCAGGTCTGATACATATCTTCCATGAATGGTGACATTCAATGACAGTTTGATTAGAAAAGGATACTGCAAGCCATTTCTATAAAGCTGGCTGTTTCTCTCTTGGATTTAGCCTAGAGAAGAGCAGTACCTTCCACAATATCATAGACCTCTCTGAAAGAAAAGCTCTGTGACTGTTTGGACTGGATAATGTAGCCCAAACTTGCTTTCAGTCCTATATACATGATAAATGGTTCGAGACAACAATAAAGAGAAATGAGTATAAAATTTATCTACCAAGTGAGTATTTCTTCTGATTTCCCAGAAGATACCTGCAATAGCAAAAGCCACTTTTCTACTGTGACATATAGGGCCTAATTCTTTTTTTCAAGTGAAAGGCTGATAGATTCAAAGCACATACAAGTAAAGTGTAAAGTATCTTTGCATCACAGTAATAATCTCATGGAAAAGATGCATGTTTATTGTGACAGATATTTTTGAGAAACTAAAATCTGCATCATGAGCAGTAAAATAATGTCTCCTATAATTATTTCTCTCCTTCATGGGAGCAAATTTTGCCTCCATGGAACTCATACAAAACTGGATCTCAGATGCTTTGAAGCATTTGAAGGACGAGGGGAAATGGCCTTAAGTTGTGTCAGGGTAAGTTTAGGATATCAGGAAACACTTCTTTACAGAAAGGGTTGTTAAGCACTGGAATGGGCTCCCCAGGGAGTGGTTGAGTCACCATCCCGGATGTGTTTAAAAACCATTTGGATGTGGTGCTCAGGGACATGATGTAGCAGAGGGTTGTTAGTTAGGGTAGTATGGTTAGGTCATGGTTGGACTTGATGATCTTTAAGGTCTTTTCCAACCTGAGTGATTCTATGATTCCATGATTAAATGCTTTTGAACAATCCTATAAAACAAAAGAGATCATTAAGGCAACCCTAACATGAAATAGTGTAGATACATGACATAAGGTTAGATCAGGGTTCATTGAGCCTTCGGGAGGTTTTGTCAACTGCCTCAAGAGGACCGCGCTGACCCCAGGAGTCTCTCTGCTTACAACAAGTTTGCCTCAGGGCCAGACAAGCAACTGCTTGCAAGCATTCACTCATTAAGTGCACAGAATATCACTTACTTGTACGGGATATGTTTGCTTCCATTGACGAGGGCAAGGATGACATTGCCCAGAGCTGACAACGAGAGACAGAGGCCAGAGCTTCCCTCCCGGTTTTTGCTGAGCACTTTCACACAGCTCCCCAGGTCAATAAGGTGCAAGCGGCTGCGACCTCCAGACACTGCCATAAGCAAAGAAAGTGGATGGTTACCATGTGCCTCCAACAGCAGTTTCCCAGGAAAGCAAAAGACTCGCCATGACTCGCGAAGAGGAGATAACCCAGAAACTCCTCCTAATTCATGGCAGCAGTAACAAACCATAAGGATCCTGTTAGTTCACCTTCAGACTGTATTGCTGTCCACTGCTGACTCATTCAAAAACTGCAGAGGTTTTCACTACTCATCCACTCCTGCAAGTTTAACTCTGGGGCAGGCAGTCACCACTGTCATTTTTTTTATTCTCTAATATAGCTGTATTCGCCTATACCTGAGCTGGCCCTCTTTCCATCTCTGTGATTACTGTACTGATAGGAAAATTACAGATTGGGAACTGCTGCTTGGTGAGCAGTGTCTTTGTGGTAGCTCCAGCTTTTCCTTATCTTTCACAACTTGAGTAACGGAGATTCAGAGGAACCATGAGACCTGCAGGATATTCAGCTTTCCTTTAAGCCTATTTACTCTTCCATTATCATTTGGGCTAAGACAAGGTTTGCTGATTTAATGCGTAGTGTAGTGTTAAAAAGTTGTTCTAATCTAAAAGTAGTTTCTATAAAACTGGCAGAAAATCCTGGTTTTCCCTCTTGTTTACTCTGTATCAATACCACTACACTTAAAATGAAAGGATGTTACATTTGAAACAGCAAGCTTAACAGAGGTGAGAAACCTATGGTTACTTTATGAACTCAGGGATGGGGACTATGTAGACTTTACAGAGGCATTTCTGTAATTCCCTATTTTCTCAAGAAAATTTCCTAGATTTTTTTTTAATTTTTTTTTTCTTTAATCTGATCTGTGACCAGTTCTCCCTATTCTCAAGACTTAGTTTAGAAGCAACCTATAGGAAAATACTTAAACGTTAAGAGTGCTGTTTGAGATTCTGAATATAAACAGAAGCGGAAATATTTTCACATCTGTCGGCAAATAAATTCACAGCCATTTCAACACAGCACCTTAACTTATGCACCTTGCCTCCAAATAAATAAATTAATTAAAATTGGGAGAGATCTGTTATCAAGAAAATACAACATCGGGAGCATCTACATGATGGAGACCTTAGAAGCTTCCAGATACATTTCTTTGCATTGGTAATCTCTTAACAATCACAAATATGTTTTCATTGACAAAAAACATGATACATTATATTATTTTGCAGATTTGCTCCTAAAGGTATATGAAACAACTAGCTGTAACTTCAAAGATGTTAATCTACATTCAAAAAATAAGGACAGAGAGAGATTTTGTTTTTCAAATACTGCAAAACACAAAGCTCACTGCTTATTAGCACTACCTTGTACTCTCTTTAAAAATACAAAGCCTTTCTGTGGAATGTGTCCCACAAAATTCTGTAATTCTCATTCAGTTGTAGGTGACAGCTAATTAAGATAAAAAAGAAGTGGGCTTTTAAGAAAATAAATATGAATAAGGAGAGGGAAGTAGAAATAAACTAGGGGAAAAAAAAAAAACAGAAGAATACAAGAAAAAAATAAAGAACAGATACATAATGAAAAAAGACTGAAAAAAAAGAAAAAGAAGAGAGGAAAAAAAAGCAGAATGAAGGAAGAAGATTTTTTTCTGTGAGGGTGGTTTATGCAGTGGAATTTGAGAATTATATTCCAACAGTGTAGCCAGCATCTGTCAACAGCTGACAAAATAAAGTACTTCTTTTAGGCTTTGTTAGTTTTTCAGCTGCATCAGGTATTTCGAAATAGAGAACTTCCATATATCAGATTGCAATACTGGTAAAGCCATGCAGAGTATCATGAAAAAGAAGAGACGAGTAAGTATCTGATCATAACAAATACTAGTGGCCAGACATTCGAAATGCTGCCCCTAAATCACAGTATCATCTACTAAAGATGCCTGTGGGCATTTCACCACTATGCTCTCATGGGGAAGTAACCCTAACTTACACATGCACCAAACGCCTGAGTTCACTGAAGGAAGTCAGGCTTCCCTGCCATGCAGGCAGCTGCACCTTCACTGCTTCTGAATCTTTGCCTCCCCTTTAAGTGTCCTCCTCTAGGACCACTACCTTCAGAAGGCTGGTGTTACTTTTTGTGAGAAACCCCCAATGATTTTACTTAGAAAAACAAGTTTAGTTGCTACTGAAAATGACTGCAGATGACTTTACTGAATTAATTATATTTAATAAATAGTTCTGTTGCTAGGATTACCAGGCATTAAGGAAACAAAACAAAATGGAAGCAATCACTGCCTTTTAAACTTCAGTTGCTCTGACTGCACTCATAGTCCTACTGCACAGGCTGAGGAAACCCAGAACAAGAGAAAGGACAGGATCTTTTGCACTTATTTAGTTTACAAGTCAAAATAAGACCTGTGTTTAAGATAGTCGGTCCACTTGCTTTATCTGAAAATGAAGTTATTTGTTAGGCAAGTTCTCCACTAATGTGCCTGGCAGTATAGAGAGAAGTGTAACATCCTAGAACTTGTTTTTGTCTGTGGCCACAGAGACTTTGCAGAGCTGAAACTGAAAAATGATGGCCACTTCTGCCACAGTTCCATTCTTTCAACAGTGCTAAGCCTGCTTCATGACATTCCTGGTAATTAATCCAACCAGGAGGTAAGTACAGTACTTACGTATTAATCTAGCTGTCATTGTTTTGTAAAAATCAAGAATCAGCCAGCTTTTTAATCTCATCCTTTAGATGCAGTGTTTCTTTTCCTTTTTTTTTTTCTCCTAGCCCTTTTTAATCCTGTTACTGGAATCTGTATATCTCCACTGTCTGCATGCTGTTTTCTGAGAAGTACTTCATTACAGCAGGAGACGCTGCTAATCACTAGGTGCCGTTTATGAGCGGCTGGAATTCCCCTCCATTCAATTATCAGCCAGATCTGACCCTGCCTGGCTTGAGAGGCCACTCAGATATGGAAACCTGAAGACAGGAGTTGGTATGGCCAAAAGATGAAAATATAACTGCAGACAGTGGGGCAAAACATGTTATACTGGAATTTTAAAGGATAGTGTTGTCTTCTTTCTTTTCTTTTTGTTTTCTTAATGAGTCTTTATAGTCACAGGAAAATATTCTTTCCCATTTTATTAATCGCATTTGAAAATAGTAGCAAAGAACTGTATGTAGGTGTACTTGCCTGTAGTAAAAAGCAAGGAGTATTAAATAACTGTAATAATAATTCCCTTAAAATCAGCCATCTTTATTCGTGTGCACCAGCCCGTTTGAGCATTCACAGTTTTCCTTTCCACCGCAGGGTGGTTAATTAATAAACCTTTAGTTAATTGAGTTTTCTGCCAGCCAGTTCCACTGGGGTTATTACTTAAACACATGCAAACTGTATTTCCATTTAGAGCAACTTTCTGGTTTTCTCTCTCACATTGTAAGTACAGTAAATATAAATTTTCTGCATTCAAACATTATACATTAATGCTCCAGCAATGTTCGCCCGTTACACATAATTGCATGCAATCTACTCCTTAATACAAATAACCAATGCAGAGACAGAAGCCGAAGTATGCATATCTGCAGAACTGCTTAAGCCCATCAATTCAAAAAGCAAAGGTGTCTTTCAAACAAATACTACTTCTCTGCTATACAAAAAAGAGAGATTATTTTAATAAAATGTAACAAATTAATTACAGAAAAGTTTGGCTTTTAGATGGGGATGCTCCTTGCACTACACAATTCTTTTATCACTGGAATTTACTGCATATATCTCCAGCTATAAGCAATTAGGGAGACTTGAAACAGAAGGTAAATGTAATAAAAAATATAAAATGGTGCAAGTTGAATGAAACCTTCGAAAACTATGGCAACATGTAAGTAGACATGGCAGATACCATCTTCCTCATCTACAAATGGGAAACAGAAATACTCAAGTCAGAGAATCTTTATTTTTGGCAAAGAGAGGGAGCAAACCCTCAGGCTGGAGCCTTCACAAACAGTTGATTTATAGTAACTAAAATGTTGTGTATCTCCAGGAAAAGCTGTAGTTCATGTATTGCTGAAATCAGCTCCCACATGCTTCTGTACTGAGGTGCTGGACTGGAATAGCCAATATGAGGGTGGCAGGGAATCCCCATGGCTACAATATTTTATCAGCGATCTCAACCCTGGAGCTATCAGTAAAGATAATTCTAAAAGTTAACCCGGAGAACACTTTTGCATGTAAACACAGTGCTGAGAACTAACTGTTAACATCTCCAGAAAGACAGCTCAACAGACAACTGATGGCAATGATCCCTAGCAGTCTTTCACGGACTTTGCTGGATCTTCACCAGGCGGGCAAGCAGTCTGCTGGACCCACCCCACTGCAGACCACTGCTAATCCTTACCACTAGAGAACACTGCTTAAAAGCCTACTCAAAGCCCATCTGTAGGCAAGTTTGGAGAAAAGAGAAGGGAGTGAGGGAGCAGCTTACTTCCGCCTTTGCCGCTCTTCTCCATGCGGTACTGGTAGATGTGCAGGGTGAAGAGCATGTGGGAGTTGCGGTGATCCTCTTCGTCGCAGTCCCGCTGGCTGCCACGCCGCGAGGCGATAGCGGCATCCAGGAAGAAGGCGGCCTTCTCTGCTGTAGGGGCACGGAGCTCGCTCTGGTTCTGGAGCTAAGAGTTAACACAGGGAAGAAATTACCCAGAGGCTCCCACAGGAGTCAGTGCTATCAGACATCCACTGCAGTCAACTCATGCTGTAGAAAAGCCATCTTCTGATGGGACTGGAAAGGAGGAAGCGGCCTCTTGAATGAGACCCTCCCAACACTGGCAGGAAACAGTCCTATGGGTTGGATAGATACATACATTTTTTCCATCACTTTCCCACAATCTTAGGCCATTTATTAAGGTTTATTATTTTTGCTACATCCTTTTTCTTGCACTGGCAATCACTGTGTCCTCCTGACAGTTAAAAGAAAAATAAGCTATTGTGGATGACACATCAAACCCAACAGTTGGTGAAGACTAGCACGGTGAGCCTGCATGTTACCCATCAGAAGGTGCTAGAAAGGAGCAGTCTGCAGCTAAAACTGTGAGATAACAGGATTGAATCGTGCTCAGCCCCACAGCAAGTGAAGAGAGGCACAGGCGAGAAGCCACTTTCATGTGCCTTCATACCACACAGCCATGCACCTGCCAAAAGACAGGGCAAACCATTAATCAGAGCAAGACAAGTAGTGTGCATACACTCCCATTTGCTGGACCTCAGTCACTGCCACCAGTCTGCTCTTATCTCTCTGAAGCGATAGACAGCGTAGGAGGGCAGATATAATTAACCCACCATGATGTTAAGGAATGTATGTGTGTTTCACATCAACTAAGATTTGCTTGCCTATGGAAGGCACATGTAACAGTGCAAACTGATGGCATCAGTTTTAACAGTACGCAAAACTGGCTCTCAGCCCACAGGATAGACTTGTTTTGTCTGGCATAAATACAGTGATGAATTCCCATTCTCAGGGTTTTCTTCCCCCTACTGGCTAATAGTGCTAAAAATTCTCCCTAAGGAAGACAGTGCTTCTGTCTCCCTTTGTGGTCATTAATCAGCCTGGGGCAGGATAATGCCAAGGCTTTGCAGAGGATGAGGTAACACATCTGCAGGCTGAAGGGCAAGAAGGAGTTAACATAGCAAGCAGAAGGTAGGCCTCTCTATGGATGGATCTCACTTATGTAAGCAACAAGAGAATGTGCATACTTGGAAAGGCCCAATGACAAACACTATGACGTGGTGATTATTCATTTGCTATACACACTGCTGATTTTGCATATCTGTATGATTATAACGTTTTCCCTTCATTGGAGGATTTCGAAAATTCAGGTGTAGGACATGACTACAGAACATCACTGTGTCTTACAGACACACACAAAGATAGGTTTGGGTCCTATTTTAATGCAGTATTTTATGCTGCAGAGAAACATAGACCTCTCATGAAGCTGCCTTTTCTCCAGTGGTGCTCTCTGTTCATTTGATCATACAAAAATCAGATTCACTCCATCACAGACAACAAGTTGAAAGCACAGCCCTTTTTTGTCTCCCAAATCAAAATTAAACTTAAAGGGCTGCTGAGCCTGTCTTGTGGTTACCCAGGAAATACACGAGCCAGTTACTCATTCCTGATAAACCTCCAAACCTGAGAAGAGTTGGAGTTATTCTTGGCTTGCCCAACTCAGGAATTTATGTCTTGGCAGCAATTAATAAGTAGCGATTAATGCTTCCTACAACACTCCTAATGCAAGTGCTATAAATAATGTTTATAAAGAGATAAACAGCCATATTAATGGCCTCCAGCTATTTGTGCAGTATTGTAAATATTTTATCTTGTTGTTTTACAAAAGAAAGATCACACTTTCTTTTTTCTTTTTTTTTCTTTTTTTTTTCTTTTTAAGAATGAGGTGAATTTTTGTTTGCACTAATGCTTTCACATTTTATTGCAAACACAAGTTCCTGCTCAACGTCAGTTATACCAGAGGTACAAATATTTAGGCCAGGAGAGCAGATGGCCATGCAGCTGCAGGTCATAAAGTTCTTGCATGCTTTAAAGTAAACACTTTCAACTCTATAAACTTTACATTCTGGGTAGTTCTTGAATTCAGACCATCTCAATAGATGAAAATAAAAATCATAATGCTTTTTTTCATGTAAATTGAAGACTGGATTCACCTGCATGCCACAAATGGGGTCCTCACAAAGGTAGACACCTGGGGACTGGCCATCCTGCAGGCTTCCTGTAGCCACTTCAGATAACAGGTCTCTAAGATTTTCTTCTTTCCCCCATACTTCCACTGCGGAAATTCGGACTGAGAAGCGTGCTCCTGTCTTCTCTTTGCGTTCATTAATCAACTTGAAGAGCCAGGAGATGGCACAAGGGATTATGCCGAGGTTTTGCATGGAATCATCTTTGCCGATCATGGTGTATGACTTCCCTGTCAGGAATGGGAAGTCAGAGAAAGTCTTTCATAGCCTTCTGCAAAGTGATCTTATCATACACAGCTTCATGAAAACAACTTCTTCACTACAAAAAGGACATTCAGAAAAGGGACATAGACAGACAGACAAATAATTTTTGGAAAATGGAGAATATTTCAAACTGACAGATGAAATCTTGAGTTGCTTTCAACAAACTGTTATCTCATGTGTTCCTCTGACGTGCCCCATGTCCTATGCAGGGTACGGCAGGTCCCTTCCACTCAGCACAGCAGCTACTACCGTGGCTGAACAGCAATGTAAATTGAGCAGAGCAGGAATGCCATAGTCTCTAAAATGTCCTGTTTTCAACACTGTGAGTGCGGTGTATCCTGAATGCCATTTTAAAATCATAGAATCCTTAGAGTTGGAAGGGACCTTTGAAGGCTATCTAGTCAAACTTCTCTGCAATGAACAGAGACATCCACAACTAGATCAGGTTGCCCAGGGCCTGATCCAGCCTCACCTTGAGTCTTCAGGAATGGGGCATCAACCACATCATCAGGCAACCTGCTCCAATTTACTACAGAGCTCTACATTATCCCTTATACACTGGGTCTGGGATAGATAAAACCTTGGTCCCAGCAACACAAAGATATAACTTTATATAGAAGAAGAAAAATCACAAAAATTACAGGCACATGTGATCATTTGGTGCAGAAGTAGGTGCACAACAAGAAATATTGCATCGGGGTGTAAATTTTTTCTGTTTCATTATTATTTGACTCTTCTCTGGCTTCTTAAAACTTGTAAAAGTTTGTTGACTGAGAACAGAAACAGTTCTATCTTATGCTGTCTACATATCAGTATACACAGACAAGTTCAAGAACTGTCCTAAATTTGTAAGACAAATAATAAAGGTATACATAATTTTAGGCAAGTATTCGTGATTTTTTTGCTTTCTTTTATTTCAAACATTGAATCTAGGTGGAAAAAGACCAGTGAAAAAGACATTTTATGTATGCATCTGTGGCAACAGCTGGTTGATGGACTGGTGAAGACAACAAAACAACTGCAGAGACTCAACTCAAGCTCCAGCAAAGCCCTAGCAGGGTCATCTCTCTGGACACATAGCATTGTGAGACACCATTATCTGGTGGCCTTATTTTCCATCTCACCTGCCATCTAGACTTTGGGAAGTCAAAAACATTAAACATTAAACATCCAAGTGCTCAATCTACTGTTACTTTTGCTTGGTCTGGAGCTGTCCTGGGGTTAGCTGTATAAGTGGTCTCGATTCTTGGCACACCTGTAAAACTATAGGTCCCTGCTGGATCATTAATTAAGAAGATACTAGAATACTAAGAACTGCTGTTGTAGTAAGGGGACTGAATGAAGCAACAACTCAAGACAATCTCTGCTTCAAAGAGCACGTTGTCCAACATTTATGCCAAACTGATAGACGTGTAAATGAGAAGCAAAGGTGTGGTGTTAGGTCATGCATGCAATGTATCAGCAATGCAAAGATAAATGAAGGTTTGTTTTCCCTAATCAAAAGTATTAACAATCTTGGGTCACAAATATTCACTTTGCTGCTCAGATAGAGACATTTAACAATACCAACCAAGTTTGGCATGGCCAAAGCAGAACACGCAGCCATCTGCACCGTTGACCACTGACTGGATCACCTCAGCCACAGTCCCAGCACATACTTCGGCCTGTCATATGTACAAAGAAAAAGAAAAGAAAAAAAAAAAAGGAGAGAGAGAGAAAGAAAGAAAACTATCAACAATAATAAGAAAACTCAAGAGAGTGTTTTCAGTATAAATGGCCATAATGTTATCAGTGCCCCAGATACCATGCTGAAGTATCAAAAGGTCTAATCCTGCTCATTTCATTTATGCGATCAATGCTCTGATGGTAGTGACATTACTTATGTAAGTACATGAAACAGGATTTTTGTTCTGTCCAGGAAGTTTCATTTTATCAACATCCTTTCTGGGGTTAAACAATAAACACATCCTGTAACGAGACAGAGGGATGCAATTGGTTTGTTAGAACTGCCTAATAAAAGGCTTTTTTTTTTTTTTTGTAAATTAAATGGCAAATACTGAGAAATATTAATAGGCTCTGTTACTTTCCCAATTATAGACTGAATTCATTTTCACTAGCAGGTAAGGAATACAATGGGAAAAAAACAGCCTCTGGTATTAGCTAGGTGACATTTCTTAGTTTTTCTCTACATTTTTATGAGTCTTCGTTGCCTTTAGAAGGAGTAGACTTCATCCCAAAGACTATAGCAGTATTTTAAGAAGTAAAACATAAATTTACACTTAGATTCTGCATTCTTAGATTTAAGGTTCAGGCAGTCTGTAAAGTCTTCAGTGCTTCTGCAGTAACTAGCTATCATTACAGGGTTGAACAAAATCAGAAATAACAATTGAGGGTTTTCTGGGAAGCAATTTATTTTTAACAGTAAATCACAAATTCTTTTAGTAGATATCCATTATCTCCCAGGTATCTTTGGTCCGTATAACAGCAAAGGTCACAGACTAACTAGTATCAAATTACTCCTGACCATAACCTGAACTTTTTTACTGCCCCAAGATAGGGCAGCCTCAAAAAAGCACCCTGTGTGTGACAGTACATTATATCCCTGAACTGCGTCCAGGCAGTAGTCTGGGAAGGCTAGCTGCCTGGAACAGAACTTGTTCAGGGATGGAGCTACTGATCTGATCATATTCTGGTTCTTCCACCAGCCCTGTCTCCTAGTTCTGTTTAGTTCATGGGTACAGAAGCAGCACTGCAGTATTGTTTTCTAATTGTACTCTGAAATGTTACTTTATTCTTTTACTGTCTTCCTTGTGGCATTTGGATAACATGGTTCATCAAATCAAGGTCTAATAAAAAACAAGAAATCAATATTTATATTTACATGATTAGAGATTTGTGGACTAAAATCCCAATCCTTCTACTGTGAACTCTTCAAATAATCCTTGACTTCATAATGAGCCTTGCATTGAAGAACCACAGTTCTGATCAGATTGCTGGATACACCAAATCAATTTAAAATATGCAAGTCGTAACTTGCATTCTAGGCAACAATTAGCACTTTCATTGCACATATGCTTTTAGGAGCAATTGTTTACAGAAAAGAATAAAGAAAGCAAACAATTATTTACATATAATCTAATACATTTATTTCACTATTAATGACATTGACAAAAAATTCAACTCTAGCTAACTCCAATGAAAGTATGGCTATCACAGTTGAAATCAGTTTGGCTCTGGTGCAGATTATTGCTTAGATAACTATTTTTATCATATTTTGCCTACCTGTGATGCATCTTGGGGGAAAACTGCATCGAAAGCAAACATCTTGGGTGGAACCTGGTTGCCCCTTTTCTGGAAAGCATTCTGACCTCCACAGGTTACTGGGTCATAGAGCGTGATTTGCTTCTTACGGGGGTCAACTTTTAGGAAAGAGCTGGACTCAGACGTGTCTCTGGCAAGCATGGAAGAAATGCGCACCATGACTTTGACCTGTCAGCAAATACAAGAAGATGACCTCATTTGATGAGCTAGACTCTGATGTGTTGAATGAACTTACCATAACACTCAACCAAATCTTACTAACTTTACTATATCCCCGTGGAAATCAGTGTAAGACGCAAGAGCAATTGCACACAGAATTTGGTCAAAAATGCCTATTGCACAAAGCCAGAACTTGTCTCTATCTAAATCAACAAGCAGCTTGTGCATAGAGAATTTATGAGGAAACTCATGGTGCTTTAGTGCCCATGTTATTTAAGTACAATGAAAAGGTATTACATCACCTTGTCTTACTCTCAATATAAATTGAAAAGTAACTGTACCCTAGTGGGCCAATTTAGAAGCTGGAAGGTAATCCAGACTGTTAAACTACTGGAATTGCTCTGGTTTCTATGAAGCAGTTTGATCAATAAAACAAGCACATAAAAGCCAGATTTGTAATTTACACCTTTCAAATTCTACTCAAATTCAAAAAGATGAACTGCTCAGTTTTAAGTGTCATTATCAAAGAGTTGTGAAAAGAGTACTGTTTTAATGGCCAGATTTTGAAATCATTGTCAAGAGAGTGGAAAGTAATACACAATAAAAGATTTGTTAAAACATGTTAGCTCACAAAACATTAAATGACTACATAATAAGATATTTCTATGACAAAAATACTTCTTCGTGTATTTAATGAGATTATACTGCATTCTTAGCCCCGTTAGTAAGCAATTTAGATGTAAATAATATGGACGACTATCAGTCTGGCTTTAGTTCTCCCCATAAATTCACTGCCTTCAGACAAATCAGTTCCTGGACTTCACAAGGCAAACGTCACCTCTCTGCCAGGCCTTGTCTTCTATTCACACCTGCACTTATTTTGTTCTACAGCAGACTAACTGTCATATCAGCCAGCCAGAATTTTTACATAAATGTTCTTCAACTGTCAGCTGTATCACATCCACAAACAGCTAGCGTACAAGTGACCACAAAGAGACACTTCAACACAGAGTTGGTACAAAGCCACTGCTGAGATGACAGAAGCACACTGGGAGGAGGCTATAGCTCTGAAAGCTAGACAAAAAGCTAAAGTTCCTGATGGCCTCATTGAAACTGGTGTTTTCCATATGTAGACCTCATTTAATGCTTGTCTGAGCTCATTCCACATTTAAATAAAGTATCAATGTGGAGAGGTCAAATCTGAGCATGTATTTTTTACACAAGTCCTCTGAAGACAATCGAATGAGAATAAAAAATAGCTAGTTGAGACTAGCTTGTTTAGTACTTTTGTGATGTCATCCTTACATGTCTATGAGTCAGTGATAATTTGAATCCTATTTTAAACCACGAAAACAAGATGTCATTAGATGGTGAAATGGTTAAGAATCTGTGCATGTGACTCCAGTTTTACAGGATTACTTGAGGACTTGAGGGGAAAGAAGAATACTCCTTGAGTGTGAATGGGTTCTCTTCTCAACTGCTCAATTCAGCTGTTTATGAAAGCCAATGCCTGGAAGAAGAAAAAAAAAAAAAAAAAAAAAAAAAGCACTTCCTACTATTGCACTTCCAGAAAATCATATAAACTCAATCTTAAGCAGAGCTGATTTCTATGGAGGACAAAGGCCACCAACACCCCTAGACAACTCAAAAAGAGCTGGGCCAGGTTTGTATGTTTATTCTAGCTCTAGTTGCCCTGGCAGCTCAGAAGGGAGACACTAATCAAGTAAGCATGGAAGGAGGGAGGACAACACTGATTCTGGAGGAGAAAGAAAATAAAGCATAGAATTATAGAATATTTGAGCTCAAAGAGACCCATAGGGATCATCAAGTTCATCTCTTGGCTCCACATAGCATGATCCAAAACTCACACTATTTCTAAGAGCACTGCTGTTCCCTGTGAGGAGCTGCAGCCACCACGAGGCCTGCAATATCAGTCCTCATCAGTTTTCCTATTTTCAATTTTTCATGAGCTGGATTTTCCTACTGTATACTACTTTTTTTAAACAGACATCACTTATTAAGGGTACTACACTGACCTTCTGAAAACCAAAGTAACTGTCATTCTCCAATTATTTTAAATAAAATTCTTGTTCTGCTTTAGAAATCCATTTACTTATAAGTTCACGTGCATTTTGGCTGCTACGAATCCATGCCCTCCTTGATCACTTGTGTGAAAGTGAACACACTGAAGATAAGTTTCTTCGGGCTTTATACAATGAAAAGGAGACAAAATTTACCAACATTTCATACAGAGGCAGTCTAAGAGTCCTTTCTAGCCTCCAACTGCACAAGCATTTCATTTCAACTTCAGCTACCAGTCTTGTACCAGAATAGCATCACCAACTCGGGTCCTGATTAAGCCTCTTCACACAAAACCAGAGTAATACCTGTCACATACAACTGAAGTAATACTGCAAATCCTCCTAACTTCCAGCAGCTATAGTGACAGAAGCTCAGGCATCACGTTTGACTTTCCCTGGAGTAAAAGACCAACTTAACTGAAATCCTGAAAATTTACTAGCATCAGATAAACTGAATGAATCGCTATAAAAAAAAAAGGAACTCATCTCAGAAGCCCCAGGAGATGTCTAACAGCATCAACTGACCAGTTGGCTTTTCAACTCTGGCAAATACAGACATTTCTGAAGAAAAATACGCTGTTAGCATGAACCTTTCTATTTCCTGTGCATTGGGGATTTCTGTTTTCAGATCTTTTTTTTCCTGTGTGCTATGGCAGAGGAATACTACAATGACTATCTGTGGGAAGCTAGTTGTATGCAGCTGGTACAAAGAGAGGTGTGCACCCAGGCTCACAGAACATGCAGTTGCAATTAGATAGACCCTTCATTATTAAATACCACTACGCACATGACCTACACCCAAGGATTCATGCAAACATTTCCCAATAATGGTTAGAATGACAGTAAACTAAGCAACAGCATTAGAAACAATGGAGAAAGATAGCCTCCTGCTCTGCCATTTCATAGTCTTTTATGCAATTTATGACTGGGGGTAGGGGGGTGAGGGGTTTGGAGTCCGTGCTGGCCGTCGCAATCCCTGCCATAGGGAAGGCAGTGCAAGTGTGAGAGAATGTAAATTCAGTCAGGTATGGGGATAGCAGAGGAACCTAATGGACTTTATAAAAGACTTCAATTAAAGGAACAGGCAGGTTGAAGATCACAGTGCTGCTCTGGGGAAGGCAGAAGTACAGTACGGTTAATTTGAAGCTAACTGAACAGTGAAGTTTAAGAACTCTTATACTTTATGCTTGCAATTTATATTTAAATAAACTGTAAATTGAACTTCTTCTTAAGAAAAAAGCAGGTTTTCTGCTTCACTTCCTATGTGTCATTACTGTTTTAGCCTAATGCTACAGTTCTTCACTAATCTCTTGTAATTGAAGGGTTTAAGAGATACCACTTGTGATTAATGGGACCACTCTGTCTGCCAGAAATTCTTACTTGAATCCCAGTGATCAGGCCTTGGCAGCACCCAGCCTTAGATGCACCTCTGACTGTTTCTGCAGGGAAAGATGAAAGCACTCTCTCAAGACATGTGCTGAAGATAAAACAAACAACCTGGGCCTAATTTTTATCTAAGCCTACAATCTTATAAATCTGGCTGAACTCAGCTAGAATTAACCTAGCTTAAGAGTGGAGAGAGAATAAAAGAGAAGGTTACTTGTTCTGCATCATTATTGTGCCTCTTCTAGGAATAAATTCACTTCTTAATTCTGCTCACGCTGAAAAATTACTGTATTTTCTCCTGTGAATGTTCACAGGGTCTGATTTGACAGCTATTCAATCCAGCAGGACTCCATTTCCTCCACTGGACTATCAGGTTCTACCTGCAAAGAATTGTTCTGTTCTTGAAATTTGTAGTCATTTACCTCCACAGTATTACTCCTGAGTAGAGTTTCTTTATGTTAACATATATATACATACATATATATATATATATATATATATATATATATATATATATATATAAAATGTGCACATTTAAATTACATAAGCTGTTTTTCAAAAAATGCATGGATATTTTCTGTATCTTTATAAGTAACTTTATATACACACTTTTATTTTGTACATGGTAATTGTTAGCATTACAAAATTACTGTTCCTTTCTGGCTTTCCTTCAGTAGCATCAAGGGAGCACTGATGTGATACCACAGTGCTTCTCTACCATAAAAATAAATGCTTTTAATTGTTTCTATTGCAATTTCTGATGCATTAACCATATTTGTTTCCTTCCTCCTTTTATATCTCGCACATCTCTATGAACACATCAACTATTTATTGAAGATGGTATTTTCTAATTGCAAATTTTTTTCCTGGTAAACACAATTTGTGACCTACCAGGTACATTTTGTTATGTTCCTTTTCTGAGGAGAAGGACAAAGGTTCAGCAGGCTCTGCAAATTTGAACAAGTGGTGCCATTGGAGAAGAAAAAGAAAAAAAAAAGAAAGAAGGGAAGAAAGAAAACAGAGCCCAGCCTCAGCAACTGACACTCCTGTGTCTCCTGTGCCTGCAGGGGTCTGTCTGCAGGACCAGCAGTGAAGTGAGTGTGGAAGAGGGGAGAGGTAAGCTGTGTCAAATCTGTACCAAAGATGGATAACTACAAACAGAGCAAACAGAGGCTGGAATGAGGCAACAGAAGCAATGGGGATATTATCACTTCCTTCTACTCTTGCCTGTAAGATTTCATTTGGGGTTCATTCATCTAATTACTGCAGGGATAGGGCTAGACAGCTGTTGCTTTGGGCACTGTGCTTGCCTTTATGAGCTGTTTTTCTCATCAATCATTTGAGCCGCTTCTGCTGGACGTGTGCTGGGTAGTGGTGGGAGGCAGGAGCTGTGATGCAGTCACGGTTGAGACAGGCCAACCGGGGCTATTGAGCTGTATTAGCACTCCATCAATGTAATGGCAATCACTGGCTGCAAAAACAGCCTTATTGGAGGTTAATGAAGAGTGGGTTTTGTAATTTCTCACTGTTACAGTTGTAAAT